GTCACATGTATGTAAACAAAAGAAAAGGAAAAGATAAAAGAAAAAGTATAATAGGATTGATAAAAAGAAAATGAAAAAGAGTCAATTCGTAACACCTGATTTTATCGAGTCTTTGTGTTTCTTTAGGAAATTACGGATCCATGTATTCGACACGCTTTCTTCAGTTACCTCCATACCTTTTGCTCGCATAATCAACTTTACCTTTGGTTGAAGTGTACGTTTACAAACTGGAAGTCCCGCGAGGCTAAGAAACCTCATCCAGTCAACAAGAACAGTCTGTTCGGCTCCATTAAGGAGCATCTCCTTCTCATGTGCCTTCTTCCTTGGCTGTACGCCTTTCAACCGCTTTCGAAGAGTGTCATATGGGATGTCGAACCGAATCAAAGCTTTTCGCAGGTTGTATTTCGGGTTGGTTGAGATGAGTAGGCTCTCCTTCGCTTGCTGGATGCAAGCTTTGACCTCATCGTTGACCTTCTGTGGTCTACATTTTGCACTTCGTGAATGTTTTGGCTTGGTCATGTACTTAGATGCCCATGTTATTTTTATTTTCACAGTAATCTACCAGTTCTTCATACGGTTCCTGATGTTTCAATCTAAAATCACACTTGTATTTTGAAGGATTTTGGACTTGTACATACGCATTGCCTGGATACACTCTACTTTGTGCAGTACCATATGTTTATTGAAGACCTAAGAAGTACTACATAAAAAGTCTAAGAGCATTTACAAACCTAGAACATTCAAAATATGACATTTTCTAAAATACGGAAGTACCCTGTTTACGGAAGAACCCTGTGACCCATAGTACATGCTTTTTGCTCACAGGAATAGTGAAAACTGGTTGATTTAGTATGTAGGTATGAGTTAGCCCTCGGCCGCCTCCCTTTCTTTTGCTTCCATTGCGCAAGATAACCCTGGGTTGAACCTGGCCGCGCCTTTGGCGCGCCAGGCTCTCGGCGTGACCAATTTTTCCCACAGAGTGCCGCACTAGCACAATCCTTTGTCCATGACATCGACACCCTCCAGCTCACTTACACTTGAAGAGATATACACACCTCCTCCAGTCTCGGCACCTTCCTCACCAGTGATGCTCAGCCTCGACGGGCGTGTTCATTTCACTGACACTCTTCCAGGTCCCTAGTGATGATGAAGACTGTCCCCCTCCTGGGAAGCACCTCCCTAATGAGCTTCGACTGGACCGTAGACGCCTCAAACGAGATGCAAAATATCAGAAACCCGAAAAACTCTTCTATGGATTCGGTGTCAACATTTGGGACTGCCTTGAATATCACCGGACGCACAACTTGCCTTTGCCTAATCGCCGCACCAAACCTTCGATCTGGTTATGCATTATGCAAGACGTTGTCAAACACCTTTGTCAAGTCTGTTGGCACGACTTCCAGTTCGTCATGCCTCACAGTGACTATGACATAGAGATAGCTCTGTATGATAGTTATACCATTCACCATCAAAACTTGGCCCGAGATGAAGAAGAGGATGTTATTCGGCTTCTTAGGCGGGAGCTGGATGTTTGCAAGGATCAGGAACCGCAGTGGTATTACTCTTCGATTGACCTCTGCGAAGATTAGCTGGGTGAGTTATTAACACTTGGACACTCGAGCCGGCTGAGACCCAAGTTCATTAATAAGGTTTCGATCCTGGTGACCCCTTTTGCCACTGCGGAATCGCTCGTAATCATAGTATGCGTTACTCTCCATTGGTAGAACTGCTACTTGGCCATCACTGGCACACAAACTGTTAAGTACTGTACAATTTGGGCACCACCACCAAATTAAAAAAAGAGTCCGCGGCGTGGTTCGAACACGCGGCTTCAAGATAAACACCAATACATATGACAGTTGCAATCTCACACTCTACCACTGAGTTACGCGGACATATTTATCTCCCCACCGGTTTGTATATTCTCAGCAACTACGCTATAAATTGACTACATTTTAATGGCTCTTTCCTTCAGGTTTTCTAGGTTTAAACAGTGACCGCTCCTTCACCTTCTGTACAATCTCATTGACATTCTTGACCGACTCTTCTTTAGAAATTAAATGTCCACGACCTATCCACGATCTGTGAGCTTTCTCTAGCCATAAGAGGGTATCACCAAAGACAAACCAACGATCGCCCAATTTCTTGTACTGGGAATTCTCAACGTCTCACACTCCACCTCCCATCCAGTGTGAGCACTTAGAGTTGCCAACCAAATCCTGTACATTGAATACCCACTCGAGTTGCTTCCATCGCCCCCGAGGTTGAGAGTTTTGATAAAGTCTTCAAGGTTTGATGCAGGATTGTGATTCGGAATAGGAAACATCGTCTTCTCAGAGCGTTCGTAGCGAACATCAAAGTCCCACGCGCAACAAGGTATTGACAAGTATCCTGAAGCAGAGCAGAGTGTTGAGAGCACCGGTGCCCAAGGCGTGAGCTCGTCTGCATGGTTGGCGACGACGAAAACGCCTGGAGGAAAGAATTTGTTGTCAAAGTCTAGTGGATTGAACGCATGAACATGTAGATGCTTTTGAGTATCTGAAGGATAAAACTTCCAGGACGTCCTTTCGCGGACATCGATTCCATGACCTTCGTAGCCCTCTGAGTTTAGAATGTGAGTCAATAGTCCATTTCCGCAGCTGTGTATGGATCTTAGTACCGCACAAACATATGTAGAAGTACAAACCCGATGTCGATGAATCCCGCGGGGGGGCGTGGCCACCTCCTCCAAGGCTCTCCAGTTGTCATATCTGTTTCCATCTCCTTGTTTCCAAATGTAATTTTCCACAGGAGCATGAGATAAGTAGCGATCCCGATGTCCTGGCATTTCTCACCGCATCAGAATGCAACATATCCAACGTATTTTTTTCACGCACCTCAAACACATGTTTCAGTGGATCCGTAACCTCTTGCCAAGTGTCCACCAAGCCTTTATGTCTCTCCCGCATGACAAGATACAAGTCCTGATAAGGTTCTCGAGGGACAAGCACATCATGATTCACCCGCTTTCGGTAATTTGTCATTGCACCCCATCCATAGCGGTGGAGAGTTTCCAGTAAAGCCAAGGAGGTACGGAATAGCCTTGAGTTTTGGTCCAAAGGCGTGTCGGGTAGTGGAATAACTTCGATGCGAAGGAGAGCGGAGCCTGACTCTGTATCGTGAGATCGTAGGTACCGGAATGCTAGATGGGTCACTCGGGGGTGGTAGTAGGGCAGAGAGTCCTTTTCGGAAATTATCGGAGTCAAAATCAGTACGGTATGCGACGGTCTTGAAGTTCCGTTGTATAAAGTGCAGTACTGCTCCAAGCTTGCATCTCGACCTGGTCTTCGAGGTAAAATTTTTCTATGGATACACCGACTTTTCTGAAAATCATCCAGCGTTGGTATCAATGGCGAAAATCCAGAGACATCGAAGCTGTCACAGATAGTCTCTGAGCGTAGAATCAAAGTAGAGTTGTATTCTGGATGATGAATGAGTTGCGATACGGCGGTATCAAACTATGAGTGAAAGTTCAATGAAAGTTGAAAATCTCTGCGTTGCTAGAGACCTACGAGCTCTTCCGGAAAGTCTGCAGGACACTCTATGAGGGAAGTCCAAGATTCCGATCCAGATAGTGGTGGATGCAAGTCAGACGAACAAGCGGAAGGCATGAATTTTGGAGGCAAAGTCATATCCGCATCTAGGATTAAGACAGCGCTTCTGGTGATACACGACTGGAAGCTTGAACTTGAACCTTTAATGAAAGTGTCCAGAGAGTAAGCTAGAGTAAGAGTGAAAATCGACAAATCTGCCGAGAAGTCACGGCACCAGCTATCCTCGGATACCGTAATCAAAATACCGCCAATTCTGGTACATAAGCAACACTAACAGTAGATACATAGAAAAGTAGGTACAGGAGATATTATATACGGTGTAGGAAAGTACAATGAATAAATGCGACCATTATAGTATGTAGTGTTTTGTAAGATGAAGGCATAGGAGTAGGTCTGTATCATGTTCGTGATGAGATTAAGAGAAATAAACTAAGTCATAAATGTTCACATTCAATCATAAGCGTGCATGCAGGATAAAAACATCTCAAGAGGGACCACAGGCCTAGGTCCATGGATACATCTGGTAGCCATTCCCGATCTCTTGGGCACAGTAAGTTGGCGAAGAAGTCAGATGGGGGTACACCGGGACCATAGCGTCTGGGGTGTCCGCAACATTTGAACTCGAGCCATCGTTCCCATCACACCTGAAAGGGTGGGAGATATTTCCATAACCAGCGTACGCACGGTCGTGTGGTTGCTGGTCGTGTTGTCTCGGACAGTAGGTGGAGGAAGGCAGCGAAGTCGAAGACGGCGGCGAACATTCAGACTGCGAATAGAGGTACGATTTTAGGGGCTCGATTTCTGTAGGGGTGTAGTTCGGAAAGTCGTCATATCCGTTATAAAATGAGGAGTGACTCTGTGGAATAGGTTGCTCCCAGAAATATGCATACTGCTTGTCATTTAGGGTGGGTTGTTGGCAATACTCCTGAGCCTGCTCCGTCCATTGACCTTGACGTTGCCATTCCACATGAGGGATCGTCGACGGATAAGTATACTGCGGGGTAGATCCTACCACGATATACGCGGAACTGCTGACTGATGCAGGTATGGAGGCAGAATGTCTAAAATCAAACTCGTAGGTCGGACTGTATTCGCGATCCGGAAGATCATGAGTACTTTGGATTGAAGGCGTGGGTATGCCTTCGGAAGATAAGGAAGGAGATGAAGGGAATATAGTATACTCCCGAGTATTGGGAGATGACTCCTCTTTTACCGGGAAATGAGCTCTACCGTCTGCGGGAGGCTCTGCTTTTGAAACAACGGAAGGTGCATCGAGACCAAGGGCATCTGAGGCTTGAACAACACATTCAGTGGAAGGATCCTCAGTCAAAGCCTCTTCCAAAGGCGGTGTCCATAATTCAATGGACCCGTCTGGCGTCGTCGATGATCGAAGGTCAGCGAATGTATATCGGATGGTATGCACAACTTCATCTTCTGGATGCTCCTTCAGAGACAGAAAGTCCGGATCATCCTGGGTAGTGGCTCGGCGTCGTTTGACAACTAACTGATGAACATCACAGCAAGCCATGTCTAGAGGTTGGACGAGTCTGACTTCTAGTACATGCACATATCTAGTCAATGACTCACCGGTTGAAGAGAAACATTCAGTCCAGGAATTGGGAAGAAATCTCGTCTCGTAGAGATATGTTTGCTGGGTAATCCCGTTACAAGCCTGCGCTATTGTGGACTGGAGGACTATCTCAGTTCGCTGCGAGTGCACCAACGCACCATCGATGAACACTTTCGATAGGCAGTGATGCTCTACGACATCGAAGACCTGGGCACTGTACAAATAGACCGTAGGATTCTTCCACGAGAAGACAGTGTTGACTGTTGAAACAGATTTCAGGTCGATGCAGATTAGCGTCGGAACCATCTCTCGTTCTGGATCCGTGACGTTGAGAGCGATCGAAGGACCGGAGTGAGAAGGGGGGCTGGTGAACTCGATACGAACGAGGGTGGCCTTCAGTGCAGACGCGTCATTTGCAGAACCCTCTGTCTGTCCAGGAGAAGACGATGAGGCAGAACTAGGACTACAAGAGGTAGTAAAATCTGAAATAGGGGTTGACCCACGCGAATTCGAGAATCCATCGTTGTCGTCGTACTGTTTGCGGCTCAATAGCTTCAAAACTAAAATATAACTCAGAATTCAAACGAACTTAGGAGACATGGGATACTAACTGCGTTCATCGCGACACGAGTCTCTAAGCTGCTGAAGCCGACTACCGACCTGCTTCGGAGACCTGTCATGACCTGTACGTCGCTTGATGAATTTTGATATCCAGCAATTACGCTTAGGGAATCGCTGAAGGTACTGGATGTCCGTGGTAGACTGAGGTCGATATTTCTGGAGTGCTAGAATGAATATGTTAGCTGGGAAAACATATCTATTTCTTAAGAGCTACCTTCAATAAGAGCCGCCTCGATTGACGGAGGCCAGACCTTCTCCCTCTTCGACCTCATCAGCTTCCACGTCTTCCGTGTAGCCAAAACAATTTCTGTTGCCTCTTTAGTACTTGATCTTGCGTATGAATTGTCTCGTGAGGATATCTGCATACGTCGAGTCATGGCGACGATGCGCTTCGTGGGCTACGAAGTCGTTGGAAGTTGAAAGAAAAGAGTTGATATTTTTATTTGTTGAAACTTGGTGGCTTGCCTTTATCAGCGTTGAATATCGAGATCAGTTTCTTGCATGCATGAAGAAAGGTTGTCAAAAGTATGTCAACAAATCCTTGAGTACCGATTTGGAAACGGCAATCTTTCAACATTTGTTCTTTTTATGCCAGGAGGTTTCGCTCAATGGCATGTAGACGTCAGGCAACGCCCTTGTTCTCTATACAAATTTGTTCGGCGTATCAGGTCATCGAAGAAACAAACGAGCTTATGGCATTCTGAGGCGCGCTTTACCATTTTGAGATATATGAAGGATCCATGATTAGGGTGCCTCCTGGGTGTCTCCCTGTGTGTCTCCACTGGTCCCAAGACAGCTTGCGCTAATCTAGTCCTGTTTGTGACTATGTCCTGGAATCGGGACATACGACAGATACCGCTATTTTGGCCAAATTTGAGCCGTCAATGAGAGATCCGATGTGCTTGTTTGTCCTTGCTATTTTTTCCTGCCGATGACAATTAAATCCACTATCAAAAAATTATCTGAACGCGCGACTTTACCTTCTTCACTTTGCATTCAATATTGCGATGGATCCTCTTGCTGGAATGGATGACTCTTCTACAGATGATGACAATGCGTCACAGACTACTGAAGATGATCCTCAAATACCTGAGCATGCTCCTGCACCTCC